CAAACTAAACCTTCGGTCTCTTCCAACGTTACTCCTGAGTATTTTGTATGCTGAATCATGTCCGCACTATTTATGGTTTCTTCCCGAAATCACTTATGATGGTGGAGATTGATGGGCGATGGCTGTAATGTTGACGTTGAATACATGTGAATGGTCTAAATGAGCGTAAATGATTGATCTCTGAACTTACTGTGATCTTGATCTCTAAACCTGATAGGAGTAATCACCTATTTGTACTCACCTATTTGTGCTTGCGGGGGTTGAGCTTTGGCTCTCTGGTCCCGCCTCTCAACTGTCAATCCACTGGTGTACAGATTCCCGAGCCTACTGGGCTCTATCATATCTATATCTGAAACTGTGTATGGAGTCAGCCTCCACCACATCACTGCCTAATGCATTCCATTTGTTAACTACTCTGACACTGAAAAAGTTCCTTCTAACGTCCCTGTCGCTCATGTGGGTACTCAGTTTCCACCTGTGTCCCCTTGTTCGCGTACCACCAGTGTTGAATAGTTTATGCTTGTCTACCCTGTCGATTCCCCTGAGGATTTTGTAGGTAGTGATCATGTCTCACCTTACTCTTCTGTCTTCCAGTGTCGTCAGGTGCATTTCCCGCAGCCTTTCCTCGTAACTCATGCCTCTTAGTTCTGGGACTAGTCTAGTGGCATACCTCTGAACTTTTTCCAGCTTCGTCTTGTGTTTGACAAGGTACGGGCTCCATGCTGGGGCCGCATACTCTAGGATTAGTCTTACATATGTGGTGTACAAGATTCAGAATGATTCCTCACACAGGTTCCTGAAGGCTGTTCTGATGTTAGCCAGCCTCGCATATGCCGCAGACGTAATTCTTTTTATGTGGGCTTCAGGAGACAGGTTTGGTGTGATATCAACTCTTAGATCTTTCTCTCTGTCCGTTTCATTAAGTACTTCATCTCCTATTCTGTATCCTGTGTCTGGCCTCCTGTTTCCACCGCCTAGTTTCATTACTTTGCATTTACTCGGGTTGAACTTTAGCAGTCATTTATTGGACCATTCATTCAGTCTGTCTAGGTCATCTTGTAGCCTCCTACTATCATTATGTTTCAATCCTCCTCATAATGTTTGCATCGTCGGCAAACATTGAGAGAAACGAGTCTATACTCTCTGGGAGATCATTTACATATATCAGAAACAGTATAGGTCCAAGGACTGACCCCTGCGGGACTCCACTTGTAACGTCTCACCAGTCTGAGGCCTCACCCCTCACAGTGACTCGCTGACTTCTGTTGCTTAGGTACTCCTGTATCCAATGCAGTTCCTTCCTTTCACTCCAGCCTGCATCTCCAGCTTTTTCACTAGCCTCTTGTGTGGTACTGTATCAAAGGCTTTCTGGCAATCCAAAAATATGCAGTCTTCCCACTCCTCTCTTTCTTGCCTGATTTTTGTTGCCTGGTCGTAGAATTCAAGTAACCCTGTGAGGCAGGACTTGCCATCTCTGAACCCATGTTGATGCTGTGTTACAAAGTTCTTTCGCTCCAGATGTTCCACTAGCTTTCTTCGCACAATCTTCTCCACCAGCTTGCATGGTATGCAAGTTAGGGACACTGGCCTGTAGTTCAGTGCCTCCTGTCTATCCCCTTTCTTGTATATCGGGACTACATTAGCTGCTTTCCAAATTTCTGGCAGTTCCCCTGTTGCCAGTGATTTGTTATACACTATGGAGAGTGGCAGGCACAGTTCTTCTGCTCCTTCCTTTAGTATCCAAGGGAAGATTCTATCTGGGCCTATAGCCTTTGTCACATCCAATTTTAGTAAACACTTCCTTACTTCCCCACTGGTAATCTCAAACTCTTCTAGTGGTTCCTGATTAACTATTCCAACTCTTATCTCTAGAATTTCTCCTTGCTCTAAGGTGAAGACCTCCTGGAATTTCTTATTCAGTTCCTCGCACACTTCCTTGTCGTTTTTAGTGAATCCTTCTGCCCCTATCCTTAATTTCATTACCTGTTCCTTTACTGTTGTTTTTCTTCTGATGTGGCTATGCAACAATTTAGGCTGAGTCTTTGCCTTGCTTTCGGTGTCATTTACGTATTGTCTTTCTGCCTCTCTTCTCATCCTGACATATTCATTCCTGGCACTCTGGTATCTTTCTCTGCTCTCAAGTGTCCTGTTATTCCTATAGTTCCTCCATGCCCTTTTACTTTGCTGCTTAGCTAGCCTACATCTCTGGTTAAACCATGGGTTTCTCTTCTTCATTTCATTGTTTTCCTTTTGTACTGGGACAAACTTGTTTGCTGCTTCCTTGCACTTGTGCGTGATGAAGTCCATCATGTCTTGGGCCGTCTTTTCCCTGAGCTGTTTCCCATGTTATATCTGTTAGGAGATTTCTTATCTCCTCATAGTTTCTCTTTCTGAATGAAAGCCTTTTTGTTTTTAGTATCCCTCGTCGATTTCAATAACCCTTCGTCAATCAGGTACTCAAACGCCAGTACACTGTGGTCGCTCATTCCTACTGGGGCATCAACACCGATTTCTCTTATGTCGCAGTCGTTCAGAGTGAAGACTCTCGTTGGTTCATCGTTTCCTCCCATCCTTGTGGGTTCTCTGACATGCTGGGTTAAAAAGTTTCTAGTCACCACCTCCAATAATTTGGCTCTCCACGTATCCTCGCCTCCATGTGGTTCCTTGTTCTCCCAGTCTATCCTTCCGAAATTGAAGTCCCTCATGATGAGCAAATGGGGTCTATTTCTACAGGCAACAGAGGCTGCCCTCTCAATTATAGTGTTAACTGCCATGTTGTTGTTGTTGTCATACTTTTGACTGGGCCTTCTGTCATTTGGTGGAGGGTTATACAGTATATCACTGCTACTACTATTCTTGGTCCTCCCATTGTCATGGTGCCTGCTATGTAGTCTCTGAATCCCTCACAGCCCGGAATAGCTTTCTCCTTGAAACTCCATTCCATTCTCATTAGTATGGCCACTCCGCCTCCTCCCCTATCTTCCCTCTCTTTACTTATTACTGTGTACTGCTGGGGAAACACGGCATTCGTTATGATTCCTGAGAGTTTTGTTTCAGTGAGTCCGATTACATCTGGGTTTACTTCTCGTGCTTTTTCCCTTAGTTCACTTGCCTTGCTTGTGATCCCATCTGTGTTCGAGTACATTACCCTGACACTGACTCTCTTCTGCTTCTCCTCTGGGGGGGGGGCGGGGACCTGTGGGATCTGGGGTGTGTATGTGTGTGCATTTGTGTGTGGTAAGCAAACCAGCAATACATGCATATTTAAATCAAATAATTTTGAACAAATCCTATATTGAGGTATTATGATAAATATGCATGAAAAAACCCGTTAAGAATGATGAAATACAAGATGTAAGAAAACTGGAAGAAGAACGACGGGGAGAGAGAGAGAGAGAGAGAGAGAGAGAGAGAGAGAGAGAGAGAGAGAGAGAGAGAGAGAGAGAGAGAGAGAGAGAGAGAGAGAGAGAGAGAGAGAGAGAGAGCTCTTACTTACATCTGCTAGGCTGGAGCTTCCAACTTACCTGCAATACAGGAGATAGAGAGTTATTACATCATAAAATTACTGTTGAATTTCAAGACTCGGAATCTTAATACATCATATAAACATTAAATTTTAAATACACTAATAATTCACCTATATATACAGAATTGGCCTAAAGAAATTTAACTTACTTTACATACAAATTATTACTAATAACATTCAATTATTATTATTAAATTGCATAATTTACCATTACCATCTTCTTGAGGTTATCTTGAAATAATTTCGGGGCTTAGTGTTCCCGCGGCCCGGTCCTCGACCAGGCCTCCACCCCCAGGAAGCAGCCCTTAGCAGCTGTCTAACTCCCAGGTACCTATTTACTGCTAGGTAACAGGGACATCAGGGTGAAATAAACATTTTGCCCATTTGTCTCCGCCTCCACCGGGGATCGAACCCGGAACCTCAGGACTACGAATCCGAAGCGCTGTCCACCCAGCTGTCAGGCGCTCTCAGCTCTTCTGTCACCTATTGGAAGGTGTGAGGTGAATATAGCCCAAAGTAACCGAAGCTTTGTCAATAAGACTCGCGTTGTTTTAATTAATGATTAAATATATATTAATTGCACACCTGCGTATATACGTGTTATGACTCCTCCTTTTAATTAGATACAACGATCATCAAAATTAATTAATTTACATTTTGTTCCTGCTCTTTATAGCATGAGCTCCTCACCTCATTTGCATACGATAATAATGTGTCCATTACAGCCAAGCAGGAGCCCCACGGATTGGTATCTTGCCCGTAGGTTAATCATCCGGGAGTCTACCTTATGTTGATCGTAAGAGGGTGTTATTGCAGGCAAATGTTGCGCTATCATTTAATGTACTTGACTAATATTAGTTATATCATTTATTAAGTATTTAGCATATTTTATTTAATGTATATCAGTCTACACCTCTACTAGTCTCCTGAGACTGAAAGATCACGAGCTCAAATAGAATTTAATATTTATTACATATAATAAGACTAGCAATTACACACTATTTTATTTTCCATTCCCAATTTACTGTCAAATAATTTCTTCACCCTGAGTGACAACATAACCAGGTTAATCATAAACTACATTCCCTGTCTACCCTTGACCATGCCGGTCCACTCTCGGGGTTCTAACCGGTCCATATTCTGGAGCCTGAACCGGTCTACATAAACCCCTGGCCGCTCCACACATTGAACTCCCACCAGGCCGTTACTCTGGACTCTACTCGGTCCACACAACTTCTCTTAACTCTCACACACCCACCAATAAGAGTTCGACTCTACAGAGTCGATAGAGCTGACACATAGCTAACGCTGAGGACTTCGTCTCCCCGGTCCTCGAACTGGGGACTTGTTGAACATTCTTGGCCCATCAGCCACTCGAATGTTCAACTTGCATGCACTAGTCGGCCGGTCACGCCCTCTGGTGATATTTTAAAGACATAATAACTGCCGATTTCCTCAGTCTTTGAGTTACGGGATGAGTCCATGCTCCCTGGCCATGAATCACGTGATGAATACATGCCCCCTTGGCCTTGAATCACGTAATGAATCCCTGCCCCCTGGCCTTGAATCACGTGATGAATCCCTGCCCCCTGGCCTTGAATCACGTAATGAATCCCTGCTCCCTGGCCTTGAATCACGTGATGAATCTCTGCCCCCTGGCCTTGAATCACGTAATGAATCCCTGCCCCCTGGCCTTGAATCACGTAATGAATCCCTGCCCCCTGGCCTTGAATCACGTAATGAATCCCTGCCCCCTGGCCTTGAATCACGTAATGAATCCCTGCCCCCTGGCCTTGAATCACGTAATGAATCCCTGCCCCCTGGCCTTGAATCACGTAATGAATCCCTGCCCCCTGGTCTTGAATCACGTAATGAATCCCTGCCCCCTGGCCTTGAATCACGTAATGAATCCCTGCCCCCTGGCCTTGAATCACGTAATGAATCCCTGCCCCCTGGCCTTGAATCACGTAATGAATCCCTGCCCCCTGGCCTTGAATCACGTAATGAATCCCTGCCCCCTGGCCTTGAATCACGTAATGAATCCCTGCCCCCTGGCCTTGAATCACGTAATGAATCCCTGCCCCCTGGCCTTGAATCACGTAATGAATCCCTGCCCCCTGGCCTTGAATCACGTAATGAATCCCTGCCCCCTGGCCTTGAATCACGTAATGAATCCCTGCCCCCTGGCCTTGAATCACGTAATGAATCCCTGCCCCCTGGCCTTGAATCACGTAATGAATCCCTGCCCCCTGGCCTTGAATCACGTAATGAATCCCTGCCCCCTGGCCTTGAATCACGTAATGAATCCCTGCCCCCTGGCCTTGAATCACGTAATGAATCCCTGCCCCCTGGCCTTGAATCACGTAATGAATCCCTGCCCCCTGGCCTTGAATCACGTAATGAATCCCTGCCCCCTGGCCTTGAATCACGTAATGAATCCCTGCCCCCTGGCCTTGAATCACGTAATGAATCCCTGCCCCCTGGCCTTGAATCACGTTATGAATCCCTGCCCCCTGGCCTTGAATCACGTAATGAATCCCTGCCCCCTGGCCTTGAATCACGTAATGAATTCCTGCCCCCTGGCCTTGAATCACGTAATGAATCCCTGCCCCCTGGCCTTGAATCACGTAATGAATCCCTGCCCCCTGGCCTTGAATCACGTAATGAATCCCTGCCCCCTGGCCTTGAATCACGTCATCTAAACACATCCTGTGAGGTGTTCCTCACTCAGGTCTGATTTGACCCCCGCTTCCCTCTAGCTCAGTGTGGCAGTCTGATTTCACATACAAAAACCTTCGGTAATCCCTTTGCTGCACAGCTTGTCTCAACTGTACAGTTTGTTGTCTCAAACACTCAGCTTGTAGCTTACATTGTATTCAATCATTCTTACTCTTCCATTGGAATGACTTCGCACAGTTTAGTAGCTAAATATATATACTATTTACGATATGACTATACCTTATATAAATCATACCAGGGTATATGATTATACATTAATTATATAAATGTTATTAAGTTCAGTTTCAATTTTAAGTTACATTTTATTAGTGGAATTTTTTGAATAAAAAAGATTAATTAGAAATCTTAAGTCCTTTAGCTTATATATAGATTATAAGTTGTATATACAACTTATACTATATATGAACTGGAGAACAATGTCAAAGGTGTACTAACTAAATATTTTACCAATCTTCTTCAGGTTCATCATGCCCAACCACTTGGGCTACACGGTAAAGAGTCGGTCTCGCTTCATGCAGGGTCGGCGTTTAATCCCCGACCATCCAAGTGGTTCGGCACCATTCCTTTCCTCACGTCCCATCCCAAACCCTTATCCTGAACCCTTCCAAGGGCTATATAGGCGTAATGGCTTGGCGCTTTCCCCTGATAGTTCCCTTGCCTTGAGGTTCAGCAGACAACCTCTCCGTGTCACCGGGAGTGAGGGCGTGAGAAACGTCAACACAAATGTCATATATTAATTTTATGCCTGTAGTGTGTGACACATTAATGTAGAGGGTGTGGCGCCACACATGTGGGCTAGTGTGGAATATAATGGTGTGACACGCCACGTCGTCTAGTGTGGAATACAACAGCAACAAGATACAAGCATGAGCCTGTGTATGGAATTCTCAAACAAGAGATGAAGACAAGTTGTAACAACTCTGTTGTACAAGATAATACAGAGCGAGTATGTTGTTATCGAGTATGGTGAAGTACTGGTTCAAAAACTGAACTTCAGTTTTTGGCCAATTTTACAGTTCAAACAAAATAAAACTGTACTCCAGGATACAAGGATCAGATTTCGTATTCTGGCCTCTGTGTATATAACAAACATGTCAAAGATAATTATTTTCCATTAATAGCCATGAGCGACCTTGTTAAAAAAAAAAGGTGTCCTGAACAATCATTAAAATTTGCCAAACAGTATACTTGTTGATATACTGGATATATATGAAAGATACGACAATAATCACCCGCACCGTCGAGGCTTCGTGTGTTCGAGGCTGTGATCATTCAAGAGCTGACACCAGTGATCAACATCCAGATGAATTCGGCTTCGATCACACAACTGTTCGATGGTCCTCCATTGACCAGGAGGGACAGTTAGAAGCCGGAGTCAGGCAACAATAACCTCACTCTATCCTTCGCCGCTTCCTACGATCAAGGGGGTTAGGTGAACCGTAGAGTCGGGGTGTACCCACACTTATAAATGTCTAGATTTCTCCTAGTAAGTTGTGTCCATGGAGGACAGAACATGTATATATGCTGGTTAGCATTGTGTGGCCACGTCGTGGTAGAATATAATAATAATAAAAAGTATATTAGAATTAGCTGGTCCAGGTTAGACTTATGACTGTGGTTGGAGGCTCAAAGAGGCAGGGCGGGACTTGTGGTGCAAACTGTCCTGATAGAACGTCGTATTTTGACGTATACTCTACCTTAGGCCAACAATTGTACTAGCAGATGGTAGCGGCTCACGAAATTGACATACTGTCCCGTTTTCTGTCTTGGGTCCTTAAAGAGCGCTTTAGTACGAGAGTTTCTTGACGTTGGGAAACTCTTAGAAGGATGGGCTGAGTGGTGACTCGGAGAGATTCTGTAAAGAGGAGAAATATTGCAATGATGGCACAGCTTATATTCCGGTTGAATATTAACTCAGACGTAGACTTAAGAGAAATTTGTTATGGACTGGTGAAGAAACTTCTACGTTCCTGAACTTAGTAACTGCTGCCATGTCTCGTTATTCAGTTCATTACGTGTTAATTGCCCTTGAGATTCTAGCTGGCAGGAAGTATCCCATTTTAATTATCTATATTAAATAAATTCGCTTAATTGTGATATGAAAAGATTCTCTTTTGCTATTTATTCCATTCCTTGGATTTATTTTGTCTTCTACTTATGTCTGTCTCTTTATATCAATAAACAATCTCCACTGTTCTCTGTGGCACCGGTCATACGGGTTTACCGTAAACTAAATGAATAGAAGTTATAATTGTAAAAAAGTTTTCCAGCGATTGACGAAATGTTTAACGAACCCATGGACGCCTCACCCCAGTATATGCAACCAGCGGTCCCACCAGGTAAGTAAATAAGAGTCCACCTGAGCAGCCGTAGGGTGAAGACGTGTCGTCTGAACACTCCGGCAGTTTGGGGAGGTTGCAGTTTTTTCGCCGGCAGGGGGTGTGGGGGTCTCTTACCCTCCCTGTCCAGTGTTGTTGCCTGCCTGGCTGCGTGCTGACGTGGCCGTTTTGCCATGGGGGGCCTGGCTATTCCTCCTGTGTTGAGGGTAAATTCCGTGGGACTGGAATTCACGTGTAAGGCTGGTTATCCGGCCGTTGAGTTAGTTATGTGTGACATGCTTCGTGTCCCGGTGGACGCTGTGTATGGCGTTGAGCTTGTTACGGCCCACCGGGTGATTGTCAAGTTCGTGGGGGAGGAGGAGTATCGGGACTTCCTCCGGCGGAACGAGGGGCGTTCATTGCAGTTGCCGGATGGCGCCGGCTCCGTTACGATCTCGGACCGAAGTGGTGCCCTGACATATGTCAGTGTGCACGGTGCGCCCCTGGAGTTCCCTGAAAACCTTCTCCGGCGCTTCTTCGGGAGGTATGGTGCAGTCATCAGTGTGCGGGTGAACAAGCTGTCCTCGGGGAAGTATGCTGGGAAGCAGACGAACGTCCGCACATTAGGTATGCGCCTGCGGTCGGATATCCCATCTTCTGTCCGGCTGCTGGGCTACTACGTTCGGGTGTACTATGCCCGGCAGCCCCGTACTTGTTTCCGGTGTGGCCAGTTGGGGCATCAGGCTGCCGGGTGCTCTGAGACACCTGCTGCGCCCGTTAACTTATTCCGGGAGGAGGATTTCCCGCCGCTCCCTCAGGGCGTGGATTCCGGAGATGAAGTGGAGCAGGTCCCAGTCGCTGCTGATGCGGCCCCTCCTGCGTCACCCGACATGCCCCCGGTGCTTGTTGCCCCTCAGCCGAGTGCGTCTGCGTTTTCCTCGACTCCTGCTGCTGCGCCTGGTCCTGCGCCCTCGCCAGGTGTTCCGGCTGTGTTGGGTGTTGGGGGTGCTGTGGAGCATCCTGTTGTGTGCGGCCCGGTTCCCCATGTGGTTGAGGCTGCTGAAGTACTGCGACGGGCGTTGGTTCGCCCGGTTCGTGAGGGCCGTGGTTCTGGGTCCGCCTCCGGCTGTGAGGATGTGCGGCCAGTGCCCAAGCGTTCTAGGCGCTCTTCTACTGCTTGGGCTGATATGGAGGACTACGACGCGGGTGGAGCTTCGGGAGATGGTGTGGCGGTTCCAGGTGCCTCGTGCTCTACGACGCTGGTGGTGGCTGATGTCCATGTGTCGGCTGTTGACGATGATTGTGCGTCTAATTTCCCTCCTGTTCTTTCTCCTGCAGAAGGTTCTCCGCAGTGGGAGGTGGTTGCTCCTACGGGCGTGGATGGTGTGGATCCTGGTGCGAGCCGAGGCATCAAGCTGGTGCTGAAAAAGGATGCCAAGCGTGGGGGGTCCTGGCAGGTGCAACGTTCAGTGGTTGCCGAGGAGCCCTGTGAGGCAGCTGAGGAGGCTCCCAGTGTGCTGCCCATTGCCCGGCCTCTTGGGAAGGAGCCTCTCCCTCTCATCTTGGCCTCCGGAGTGGCGATGGATGCTGACCATCAGTTGCATTTTGAAATTGTTGACCGTGTGCGTCCTGCTCCGTGGTGCCCTTCTACCATCTGGATTCGTCGGGCTAGGTGTTTTATTGTGGGTGTGCCAGAGTTAATGCCCGATCCTCGTACGCTCAATAGTGACCATGTTTCGGAGGACATTATGTTACTTTGGGAAGCGTACTGTATTCGCTTCCCGGCGGAAGAGTGGCCGGACAAGTATGAGATCTTTTCGTAGTCTGTATCCTTGCTGTGTGTTTTCTTTTTCTTTTGTTTTCTTGTGTTTTTGATGTTGGCCCTTCAGGCCGGTGTTTAGTGACTTGTGTTTCTGCCTGCTTTTTTATTGTAATTGGCCTCGCCTTTTGTTACGGGGCGTTAATGTATTGATTTTCTGTTGCTTTACCTGTTGCCTCTTGTTGTATGTTTTGTTTTTTGGAGGTGTTGTTTTGTACTGTGTTTGCTGGATTGCCATTGTATTCTGTTTTATGTTTTGATGTATGCTGTATTTTTCATGTTTTTCTTGTGTATGTGTTTTGTTGTCCTCGGCTGTCGGCCCTTCTGGCCGGTGGTCTATTGTTTTCCTTTATGTATTCTGTATTTTTATTGTATTTAATTTGCATGCTCTGCATGTAAAAAAAAAAAAAAAAAAAAAAAAAAAAAAAAAAAAAAAAAAAGGTAAGTAAATAATTAATTATGTGTCATTCGTGTGTCGGCGGTATGAGTGGAGTGGTTTACCATACGTTGGGAATACCTGGTGGCTATACTCACCTGGTTAAAATAGGCTATACACATACCTGAAATAGGCTATACACACCTGCTGAATGTACACCTGGTAGTCATACACACCTGCTGAATGTCCACGTGACGTTACTAAGAGCCGCGTCTGAGTATACATCATCCGGATGAGTATACATCATCCGGATGAGTTTACATCATTCGGAAGGGTGTCAGTTACGGGCAAGAGTATACAACCATTGACCGGATTGTTACAGACTGAAGACAGTTCTGTAGTTGAGAGAGAGATGAAATACAGAATCTGTTTACGGATCTCACTTGATAGTGAGAGCAAAGACAGAGAGGTTAAGAGCGATAACA